ACAAATTTCAGTGTGGGGGGCTGTGCCCTCCAGGAATCCACTTTCATCAAAATGAAATATACTTATCTAAATACCCTGCGTATTGCATTTTCATAATATAATGGGTTATGGGTGTCATCCTCAAACTCTAAGTGGAGTTCAATAACAAACAAACAGATAAACAGGAGCAACTACATTTATATATATATATATATATATATATATATATATATATATATATATATATATATATATATATATATACACACACATGTGCACGCACACACACGCACATATATATATATATATATATATATATATATATATATATATATATATATATATATATATATAGAAGGAAGAGTGACAGATGACTATTTTCTAATATTACAAAAAATATTCAACTCAAATTTACATTTTCCCACTTTTAAATATTGACTGTAAAACATCGTTCCAGTTTGTCATGCTTCCTTCTTCTTACTCTTGCCCACAATTTTTAACTCTGTGTTTTTATTTTAGATTGCTGCCAGTGCAAATATTTATTTTAGTCCACGTGTAAAAATCAAAACGACACGTGTTCATTTTTGAGGTCATTTCTGTATGCTACAGTCAACCAATATAACTTACTGTGTATACAAAAAGGTGCAGTTAGTGGCAAAATTAAAAAAAAATGTATGCTAAGATCAAAAGATCTTCCCGGTGCTTTAAAAAATCGTACATTTGATGTTTATAAAGAGGGTACAAATACTGTCAAAACGATTTGGACTTCACATCTCCACCATGCGAGAATTTATTTTTAAATAGAATGTCTTTTGTATGACGACATCGCTATCAGGAAGTACTGTCTGCGACAAATAACTGTAAAGCAAGCAAATATCTAGTTTGGCATGTGCGGGCGAATCCTCCTCTGACCTCTGCTGTCCTTAACGTCTACTTACCCAATATCCGAATCAATGTACCGGCCTTCTTGACAGAGTGCTTCGAAATAAGCTTATGAAAATGCATAAAAATGGTCATCACAACTATATTCATATTAATAAGCTATAAAAGTTCTGGCAAAATATTCTATCGCCGGAGTGGATCAAACTAGACATTTTCGTTGGAACGACAGGCGAATGTCTAGCGAAATCCTAATACGGCTTTTAAAGCGAATAATTTGGGGGTAATATTTTAAGATTGCGGCGTGTGCTTTGCTGCAGGTTGAGCAAGCAAAATTTTGCTAATTGACTGCACAATGGACACTGCAATATATCAAGCAGTTTTGAACAAAAGTGTCTTGCCCTCGGTTCTAAAGCTGAATTAAGGTAGGGGCTGGACTTTCGAAAAGGACAATGTTCAGAACAATCTCAAGTCTTAGAACGGCATAGTCAAAGTCATGATCAAAACCCAAGTGAAAATATTTTGTTCAAGTTCAAAAAGGAAGTACGCGCAATACATCTAGGTAATATTGAACAATTGTGGGAATTTTGCAAATAAGATTGGCCACAAATTTATTCTTACGATGTTTATATATTTTTTTAAATTATAGAAAAGAGGGGTTGATATTGTGACCTCAACAGAAGGAATCGACAATATTAAATCTAAGGGTTCACTGACTTTTGCACATCTTAATTTTTAATTAGTATTTTTATTCCATATTGAAAACAAAAATCCGAAACATGACTGAAATTTGTTTAAGAAAGGTTTTCTTAATGAATATATAGTTTAATTAAGATTCATTATTTGGATAAAACGACAACTTTTCTTCACTTATTTTTGCGCAGCACTGTATATATATATATATATATATATATATATATATATATATATATATATATATGGGTGTATGTATGTATGTGTGTGTGCAAGATTTCTAGAGGATCCTCTCACATGGACGTACAGTGTAAGTGTTTAGTTATATATATATATATATATATATATATATATATATATATATATATATATATATATATATATGCAGTGTACGCGCATGCGTACATATGTTAGTACAATGACAAATGGGTGTGTCTTTAAAAATGAAAATGTTTATATGTTTTATGATGACCTAACATCGTCGGTAGCACCCTTGTTTTGGTGAGAAAAGAAATAAATTAAATTTGTACTGAAGTTTGACAGTCTAACAAACATGAATGTAAGACATATGCTAATGATATATAGTAGTTTACAGAAATATACGCACACACACACACATATGATTATTCAAATCCTCCTTAATATCTCTCTATCGATATATATATATATATATATATATATATATATATATATATATATATATATATCACTGCATGAACTGGGCGGCTTTTTGGTGATAGGAGAAAGGATTGATGGGCATCCACTATTCGCGTCATACCATATATATAATATTGGGTTGGTGCATAATTATCGGGCGTTTTTTAAACAATATTTATTATGAAAAAAGAAACAAAATTCAAAAACATTTTCAAATGATTATTCCGGAGCGTATGATTATCGGCACGTATTTTAATAAACTGAAAATAAAATATTGTTTTATTAAAAAAAGTAAATAAAACACCAATTTTATTAACAAATACCTCGCCTGCAAAAACGCCTGAAAATTATGCACGAACCCAATATCTATCTATCTATCTATCTATCTATCTATATATATATATATATATATATATATATATATGTGTGTGTGTGTGTGTGTGTGTGTGTTTGTGTGTGTGTGTTTTTGCGCTAATTAAATTTTGTTCCGTCGTAAATAAATATAAAGTAAAATAAAATAAATGATATGTATTTGATAAATTGCTCCACGCTAAAATGCTATGAAATCCAATTTATCATATTTACTGGGTGATTACTCAGTTTAAAGCATGATGATTCATCTCATTTTTACAGCCAACTGATAAAATAAAACAACAACGATGGAAGAAAAATATACTTTCTAATTATATAACACATGACAAAGCTCGGAAAAGGAGTTTTGCTGTATCCGAGAAAGAGAAATAATCATCCCAGTTTTGAAAATATTTTAGCATGAAAAAAATTTTAAAAAATGTGGAGATCTTAATTTTGTTACCATAAGACAAGAGGTATCTATTAGGTTGTATCATAACTAGTTTCCGTTTTTGAGAAACAATATGGATGACATATTAATCATTCCCAGTATATAGCTCTTATGAATAGATATGGCGTACCCGGATATCGTTATTTTTGTAGCCCGGTGTTGCGAGTGTACAGAATAGATTAAAGGAACAATATTTTTTTCTGCCCTCTCACAAACTAAGACAGAATATATACATAAAGAACAGAACCTGACAAATAAAATTTGTTTGTTCCCCCCCGCCACGACCCACAATAAAGATCTTATTTTGTACCACGTGATTATTATCTATTTCAATCGCCACAAAATATTTTGATTGGGAAAATTTTTTTCTAATTGAAAACAGATCCAAGTGTTCTTCAAAAACTTTTATTCAAAAGCCATCGAAGGACTGCTAGCAAATAGTGATTGCATATAATTCTGAATATGTCATTTATTTTATAAAGACTCAAATTAATAAACAAAAATGAAATGATTTATTTCTAACCAAACCATTTTTTTAATCATTACACTCTATGCAAGGCAATAAAGCTACTAAGACGCATGAATTATCGTGTGTTAGAGGATATAAAAGGAAATATTATTTAGAGTGTGAACAATAAAAGCACAAGAATTAAGAAGACAGAAGATAACGATTATCATAACATTTAAATTTTTGAAGATCAAAGTTGACTGGGAAGCAAGAAGCCAAAAGAGAGTTCCATAAGCATAAGGGCAATGGAAGAATCTGTTAACATAGAACTTACGGTTATACCTAAGCATTTCAACTGTAAAAAAATAATATTTTGCCGCCATTGTAGTTCTGCGCTAGAATTTATATAATCTCTATGTACGATAAAGGAAAGTTAATCTGAACTAACATGAACGTATTTATAGAAAAGGCACAGTGTAGCTAGATTGCGGTAGAGTGTAAAACCCGAGATGCCAGGTCAGGACCAATAAATTTACAGATTCATATTTGTATATTATCAAGGATCTCTCAATTCATAGCAGAAGCCCGAAATTAGATGTGGCAGCAAATTTAAATCATGTATGAATGGTTGATTTATGCAAGGTAGATTCTGGCAAGGAAAAGTTTTTAGAACAACACAAAGAAACAGATGTCATAGTAGCAGACCGGGTAATTAATTCAATAAATAATTTCCACTTCATGTCAGCGGAAAAAGGTAACATAAGAAGGGGAAATGATTCACTCTCCTGGAGGTTAGATTCAACCATGCCGATGGAAATTTGAATGGGCCTCTCTAATTTTTGATAGAGAGCAGTTTCGTTTAAATTTCCCAAGTCATTTCTTACCCAAGAAAAATTTTACTTATATTCATATATAATCCAAATTTAAAATGTGTCACTTTTTTTTATTGGTGTTTATTCAGCACCTCTACTCCAGATTTTTGCAGACAAAATTTTGTGTAATTGTTTCATCTAATTGTCTGGATGTATTAGAAAATATTTATGTATGTATGTATGTGCGTTTGCATGATGCATACGTTTGGGGTAAACAAGAAAAATAAAATCTTATATTTGGACATAAGGTCAGTTGTTGGAGAATTAGGGCGCGTCGACTATATTTCAGTCCCACTACATCTATGTTTCCTGCCAATATTCTCCATGATATCTGTCTTCATCTCCTACAGGTCACCAAAACCTCAATCAATATTCTTTTTCAATTCATATTTTATTGAATCGTTTTCTATGACTTGTAAACCGTTTGAAGATTATTTAAAGCTAACAAATAATTTTAGATTGTAAGATATTTTGGGGCAGATATATCAATTTTTCAGTGAAACAAGTCTTACTAATTAATCCATAACTGGGGAGAATATGTGGATTTATACCTTTTCCCCAAAGGTATTTGCGTGTAAGTGAATATAACGAACACAGCGGAAATTGCAACTCGGCTTTCCAATGAAAGATTTCGATCAATTATTTATTACAACACCCACACATCGAAGCTTTCAGTACTTGGTATTCTTAAGCGGTCACCCATCTTGGTACTGACCAGGTTTGACGTTGCTTATCTTTGGTGATCGTACGGAAACCAGTGTTTCAATCCGATGTGGCAGTCAGCCGTTTCAATATAATTCTCTGCCGCGATTTTCTCGTGCAGATTGCAAGCCTTTGTTGCATAACGAGCCCGATTTTTTATAAATAAAGGCAGCTGAAGCATGTCATGTGTATTAGTGCTGACCCTTCAACATTGAAACAAGTAAATTCGCACATTACAACTACAGTAAGTGTGTGTTAAATTGATGATTATGGAATGCAATTTCTTATATTATTTCTAGATATCTATTGTGATGTCATCGTCAAATTTGAAAGAACCACAATTTTTACTACCTTCATTTCAGAACCAAACATCGTTTTGCATCATCTGTTGTATTCTGAGCCGTATGGCAGATCGAGCATATCCATGATGACCCCATACTCTGACCCTGGCCTCAAATCAACACAACGTAACTATAAATTTAACAATAAAATAAATGTTCGTATATAAGTATACATATTTTTGTTCATCGAATTATAGATATTCTCTTTCTTGAAGTTTTTAATTTATTTGCTTTCATGTATTAAACAAATGTTCTGAAACCTCTTTATGACACTGCCAAATATTTAGGAGCGTATAATTTTCAGAAAAAAAAAATCATGTAGTTTCACATTTTATTAAATAGTCTTTTTTTGTGGTGATTTTGGCGAATATGTAAAAATCAAAAAAATCAAAATGGTTTATTTTAAAAAGTCGAATAAAAAAACAATATTAAAATAAAACATTTTTAAGTTTGTAAAGATGAAATATGAAAAAGTTGATTTCATTTGATTTTAATTATAACAATAGAAGTGTTTGTTATTCGCATAAATAGTATGAATAAATTAATAGTACATAAATAATACATAATATTTAAGATATACATATTAAATACTATGACTAAATTAATGGTACATAAATAATACATAATATTTATGATAATATACATAGTAAATAGTATGACTAAATTAATAGTACATAATAGATAATATTTATGATAATATATATAATAGTATGACTAGATTAATGGTAAATAAATAATACGTAATATTTATGTTAATATACATAATAAATAGTATGACTAAAGCCAGAAACTACTTGTAGTGACTTTACACAGGGATTGCGGAAGTTATATTACAAATCATGGAAATTAGACTCGCCAATTCCTAAATATTAAGAAAAAATATTTGTGATCTTGAAACATCACACACGACTAAGGTGAGTAAATACTCGTCTTTTTTCTGTCTTTTTACATTCATAACATCAAATTATTGCTGCTAAATCAACTTATCGTGTTATAAGTAAAGCCATAGATTCAATAATCTTGGGAAAAAGATATTTTAGGAAAAAAAAAAAAAAAAATTCCTAAAATAACTTTCTGCGAAATTATTGAAACTGATTTTTCTAATATAATTTCATAGTCAAGCCAATTTTAGTTTTTGTTCTTTTATTGTAGTTTGACATCTGTCCCATATTTACATAATTCCCAATGATGTCGTTCCATCATCAATATATAAATTCTACCTTTTTTTTCCTCTTTTGCAATGCGTTTTTTCTTTTAGCAACCAGGACAAATCTGAAAATAAAATAATGTAATTTAATCGATCCTGACCAAGCATCTCGACTTTAGCTTCTTTCTCATCGGTGTGTGTGACGTGGCTTACCTCTGTCTTCCATGCAAATATTTTCATGGTAACAGACTCTGACGAGATTTTTTCTCTGCTGAACCCAATACATGAATTTAAGCGTGTTATTAGATTAGCACGTAGGTTCGACAATTTGACTGTTGAAACAGCTAAATGCAATCGCAACTTCTACGCCAAAAGTTATTTTTCTCGCACTTACCGTCTGTGGAACTCCCTTCAGTTTGCTTGCTTCTCTTAGAACTACAATCATCAAAAATTTAAATGCAACGTCAATCGCAAACTTGTATTTTCTTGAATCCCGTTCATCTTTTATCCTTTCCTCAATTCTCTCTATATTCTTTATAATCATTTGGTTTTCTCTCGGTTTGACTCCCTGAATCCCCTTGCCAATTAGTGGCATTCTCGGTCTCCTGGGGGTGAAATAATATATATATATATATATATATATATATATATATATATATATAGAGAGAGAGAGAGAGAGAGAGAGAGTATGTGTGAATAAAGACAAACGGAAAACCTTTCTAAGCCGATAAGTTTCGTCTTCTGATGGACTTTATTAAGCCGAATGTAAGTATTTTATTTTGCAAAATGTATTTATAAACAACACTAAAAATGTAATTAAGAAGTTTCATTAATATACTTCAGGCTAATTGAAAGTCAAGGCAAATTATGGAGGATGCTAAGTGATGTAATTTTATTGTCTAATAAACGAAAGTTATTTTTCTTTTGTTTTTATACATATTGTTTTTTACAGTTATATATTTTAGCCTTGTCTGAATAATCACACACACATACTCGCAATCACTTACGAAATTTATATATATATTATATATATATATATATATATATATATATATATATATATATATATTTCAGACGCGTTGAACAAATTTCCAGTCGCATTACAAAATCTCTGATGACAAATTAAATTATTCTAATTACCGTAATTATATTTAATAAAATCAAAAAATATAATTGCAATTTTAAAGTTTATTTATGTTATGCAAACATTTGGCAGATTTCATTAATACTAATTTCATTTTGAAAATATTAACTGGGATAATAAACTTTGATGTAATGTACGCATTGGGTTTCTTTATGCCTGCTCACATCTCTTTCCATATATATATATATATATATATATATATATATATATATATATATATATATATATGTGTGTGGGGAAAAAAAAAAAAAAACGATGACTAGCTGCTTAGGCCCGTCTGATAGTGATTGTAAGCAGAGGCTATATTCCTGTTCTGATCACTTACATCAGCGTCTAGCCATAGCTAAGTGACCACTTACGGACATTTGTCATTATAGGCAGCTACTGGACTTTTTAGTCCAAGGAAACCGTAACGGTTATTCACTTTATTTGGACCCGGCTGATTAGACAGCAAGAATTGATGGTATCCCCTGGTTTACTGTGGTTAATTTCCTGACGGTCTTCGGTTTGTTTGTTTTTTATATCAGCATTGTTGAGTGGTTTGGGTTTTTTTGCAGCTTATCGTAGGTTATTTATAGAATGACATTTTTAAAAATTATAACATACTTTTGTGCGCGGTAGTAATAATACTAAGCATGCAAGTCCTACTGATTAACCCACAGCTAGATGCGTGATGAATTCGATGCACACCTTTCCCTAAGTTATTTGTACGAAAATGAATATAACGAACCTGACTGGAATTGAAACACGACTCACCGACTTCCAATCACTAGCCGTTACACATTACACCTGTCGCGCACTTGAGTTTACAATACCTGAAATTCCAAAGCAGTCATACATCTACATACAGACCAGGATCGATGTTGCTTAATTTCTGAATTTGGCTATAGGCCTACTTAGCATGGGAAGATTCTTTTCCATATCCCGATAGTTCTTTGGATCTCTGTGTCATCTCTTAGTAAACTAAAGAGAGAATCTTACACGAATTGTTAGGGCAATTGCTGAAAATTCTTGCTGCCATCAATAAGTAAATAGGAATATCCAATGGTTTCCTATACATTATGCATGGATTATTTTCGCCATATATGGTCTGGAGCCACTTCTAATTGTCTCAAGTTTCTTGATAAATTCCAAAGACGGATGTTCAATGTAATTGGCCCTGATGTGGCATTTTGTCTGCAGCCGCTCTCTTACAGACGTGCCGTTGCCTCCCTCTGTCTTTTTGACAAATACTTTCACGGTAACTGCTCCGATGAGCTGCTTTCGCTGGTTCCCAGACTTCATGAATTTAAGCGTTCAACTAGGCTGGCATCTCGCTCTCACCCTTTCACTGTCGAAACTATTAAATGTAGTCGTCTCTTCTACTCCAATAGCTTCATGCCACGCACTTCTCGCCTGTGGAACTCCCTCCCCATTTCTTGTTTTCCTGATAGTTATAATCTCCAGCTATTCAAATGTAACGTCAATCGACGTCTCCAGATGCCCTAATCTATCCCCTAACCGTCTCTTCATCCTTTCCTCTATCACTCCTCTTTGTTCTCGCTTCAACTCTCTGTAACCTCTTGCGTGCTAGTGGCTTTCCGCCTTGCTTGCGGTTGAATGTTTAAAAAAAAAATTAAAAAATACATATTACAGCACCTGGTATTCACTATCGGCTAGCCACCTAGGTACTGACCAAGCTCGAATTTGCTTGAATTATTTCGTCGTGATAGGAACCAGTATTTTTGTGAGCAACTCTGCAAATACAGGATGCGTTCAGTAAATTGTCACTATTTTGCGCTTTTAATATCGCACATGTGCGTTGTTTGTTTTTGATTTTTCGACTACACACTATAGTATGGTCGGTTCGACACTGTTAGAAAATTCACGGAATTTACTCCGCCAGAAATTTAGAAACGGAATGTTGTACTGTTTGTCATTCGCGCCGGAAGCTCCAATACGAACATTTCAGAGTGTTTGGGTTTCACTCTAATGACAGCGCAGAGGATTCGGACAGAATTGGATGAGGCTAATGGCGATTACGATTGTACCGCAGCCCAGAAAACAGACTCTGATCGTTCTGTTAAGAAAATAACTCACGAATTTTTTGGTGAGGTTATCAGACTCAACACGGAGACCTACATCACGAGCTATAAGTGCAGCCCTGGGTCAAGAGAGTGGATGGTGCAAGACCCTGCTCCATGCTACATAAGCAGAACACACTCATGGCTGTCAAACAATTTCTGCGACCACATCACCTCTTAAATCTGGCCACATAATTCCAATTGATTATTACGTGTGGAGCGCAGTTGTAACTTCTTGTAACAATAAAGATGAACTGAAGGCAAAGGTTATGGCAGCATTCACCGCCTTAAACAAGAAGACCATCCAGAAAAGTTGCAGGACATTCCGAAGCCGTGTGGAGGCTTTGGTTGAATCCAATTGTGATTTTATTGAATAAATT